TCGCTAAAGTTTCGTCGGAACGAAGTTACGGAAAGTTAATTAACACACGGAGACGTAACAATATTAACATAATTAACAATTAAAACAGGAATAGCTGAGTATCTATATTTTAGCCTCTTTAAAACTTTTTCCTTTCCAAGCTTTTCTTAAGCCTACTATTTTGTAACAACAGTATTGTATGGAAGAAGATTCGTTGTTAGCTTTTAAAATAACAGACGAATTTAAACACCTGTATTCTTTTTGGATTTAAGTTTCTCAGTCTTAGTGTAATAAGTCCAAACATAACACAATTACGTCATTCTTAGTGGTAGTGTAATAAGTCTAAACATAACACAATGACGTCATTATTAGTGGTAGTGTAATAAATCCAAACAACACAATGACGTCATTTGGGATTTGAATATTAAAAAGTTCCGCCCGGCACAACAACTGATGTAATTGTAATTATTTTCGTGGTTTTATAGTAAAAATAATAATATTTTCTTTTGCAGTACAAGTTCAGCAATTGCCAGTGTCTGGGCAAGAACGCCACTGCCACGAATGGGTACTGCCCTCTGGAGTGCGACAGGCTGGTGTGGTACGTTGTTATTTTCTCCATCTTTGTTCTAATTCACTCCACGTCGGAAGTAGGCTCCATGTTATTAACGCTCAGGTGAGTTTTACCATTTCGATCTGATGATTCTTATCGTCATCTTAAACAATTATCCAAGCTTTTTCGAACATACTAAAAACATATGTTTACTGTTTTTAAATCCAGATTAATTAATACGACGTGTGTGAGTTATTTGTTTAAGTACTTTGTCGTTAATTTGTCAATTACGTTGTTAATAGAATATAGGAGTTAGGTTTAGGTTTAGGCTCAACAACAAAATAGACAAACATAGATAAGGCCCTAGTCATTATTCTGATGTAATGTAACCCTGTCTTCACTGTGACCAGAACACAGAGAGAGAGAAAAAAGATTCTATTGCTTAAATGGTTCGTAGAAGTTGATCTCCTTTTCTGTCTAAGCTGAATCATTGTAAACTTTAAATAAATATCTATGTGGATCTTGTTGCTTATGACACGCCAAACGATGCAAACATCATTATTCATAGATTTGTAAATCTGTTTGGCTTACTTCTCTTAAAGGGTCTGGCATGGCCAGGTGGTTAAGGAGTCACTATGTTTTCTTGTGTAGACTTAACACACATTCACTCACGTAACAGGTTAGATTATGTTCTTATGTTCGTACTTCACATAATGGGAATCGCTATGTTGCAATGTATAAACTTAACACAAGTTCTGTCCTATAAATTGTAAAAACTGGAATAACTACATTGTCGTGTGCAGACTTCAAGTTTTCTGTCCTATAACTTCTGCACAGAAGGATCACTGGGTTTTCATTTCTAGTATTCACACAGATTTTGCCCAAAAAACTTCAGAAACTTCCAACACAACACTACCGTATAAACATTTTACCTTAAATACCAGTTCGTGAAAGAATGAGAACTTTTAAACGTGTGATTAGAACTATAACAATAATGGTTATGATTTTAACTTGCATTCGTTTTAGGTAATTATAAAGTAAAGTTAATGATCTTGCAACTTTAAAAAAATTCGGTAGTAAAAAAACTCTGTAGTAGAGGAGTAAAAACTAAATTCTTAAAGGGTTACTACGGTTAAGCTGTAGTAAGAAACGTCTAATTTCCTTTTCTGCCTAATGGTGGAGTCCACAATAATTATCTCTTGACTGTAAAAAGAAACTTCGTGTTCACTTTTATTGAATCTAGACTAGAATGAAGAAAGAAACGTCCACGTTATTTCTCTACTAAATAACAGCCGAGCGTGGCCCACGGGCCACATTAGGCCCTCGAAACGAAAGCGTGATTCGTGGCTCGCATTATTATTGTGTATTTGAAAATAACAAACAATGTTTTAAATCATTACAATACTCAAGTATAAGCTCAACTTTATTTGGAAAATGATGTATTTTCCAACAAGCTCAGGTCTGGCTTTGGCCTTATGGCTCTTGTCTGAAGTGGCTCAGTGTAGGAACTAATTAGCGATCACTACTCTAAACAAACTACTAAATGACAGAATTCGTGATTGATTCTACTGGAGAGTAAACACAAATTTGCTCTTTATTTTGTATTAATTGGGGCTTTTCGTGATCTAAACGACTGGACCGTAGACAGAAACTTTAGTTTTACTGTTTAACTAAATGACGAATTTAATGATGAATTCGAATGTAAAATACAATAGTTTCTTCTGCTAGTACATTTTTGAAAATTAAAGCTATATCTTTCAGATGTGTGGAACCGCAAGACAAAGCCCTTGCCTTAGGACTAATATACTTTGCTATTGGTCTCTTTGGTGAGTACCTTTTATTTCACTATTATGCTCCTAAGCCAACACTTGCTATAGGATTAATACTTTGCTGCTTCATGTATGTTGCTATTTTAGTATTGTAAACAAAGACAACTCCTTACCTCGTGATTAATCTTTTTCTGTTTGATGTGTGATTTTATTTTAGTATTATGAATACATACAAACCCTTGTTAGGACTAACCTTTGCTATTTGATATGTGCTTTTATTTTAGTATTATGAATATAGACAAACCCTTGTTAGGACTAACCTTTGCTATTCTGTGTGTACTTTTATTTTAGTATTATGAATATAGACAAACCCTTGTTAGGACTAACCTTTGTTATTCGGTGTGTGCTTTTATTTTAGTATTATGAATATAGACAAACCCTTGTTAGGATTAACCTTTGCTATTCTGTGTGTGCTGTTATTTTAGTATTATGAATATAGAAAAACCCGTGTTTGGATTAACCTTTGCTATTCAATGTGTGCTTTTATTTTAGTATTATGAATATAGACAAACCTTTGTTAGGACTAACCTTTGTTATTCGGTGTGTGCTTTTATTTTAGTATTATGAATATAGACAAACCCTTGTTAGGACTAACCTTTGCTATTCGGTGTGTGCTTTTATATTGGTATTATGAATATAGACAAACCCTTGTTAGGACTAACCTTTGCTATTTTGTGTGTGTTTTTATTTTGGTATTATGAATAAGGCAAATCCTTGTTAGGACTAACCTTTGCTATTCTGTGTGTGTGCTTTTCTTTAGTATTATGAATATAGACAAACCCTTGTTAGGACTAATTTTTGCTATTCGGTGTGTGCTTTTATATTAGTATTATGAATATAGACAAACCCTTGTTAGGACTAACCTTTGGTATTCGGTGTGTATCGTTATTTCAGTATTGTGAATATAGACAAGTCCTTGCCCTAGGACTAACCCTTTGCTATTTGGTGTGTGTTATTTTAGTATTGTGAATGTAGACAAGTCCTTGCCTTAGGACTGACCCTTTGGTTTGGAGTGTTGTTATTGTAATATTAAGTACAGATACGACAATGTTGTTCATTCTTTAAACAAGAGAAGTAGCTGTTGCATCAGGCGTTGTGTCCTCCCTGAACAATAGTTGTAACTGTAATTTGTAAGTAGCACTTTGATTTTCTAGAACGACTGGTCGACAACTAACATCTAGGGTCACTAATAAGGTCTTAGTGCACGTGTTTCTCTTGGGAAAGTGAAAGAACTGAACGCCATCTAGTGTTCAAAAGATGCTTGTGGCTTTCATCATGCTCTAACTTATGCATTACCATTTTAATTTTCCGTTATTTTTTATATGAATTTTATTTTACGCGACGAAAAATATATTTTAAAGTAACTATAAATTTCACGAAATATAACAATACTTATGTAAGAATGATTATTTTTTTTCATTTTAACATTAACATTTAGAATGTTTTCTGTATTTCAACTGTTTCGTAGTAGGACTAATTTATCTGTGTTCTAATAGGTAATGTCCCTTGTCCAATCATCTATGGTGCTGTTGTCGATTCCGCGTGCTTATTTTGGGAAGAAAGCGAATGTGGGGAGAGGGGAGCATGCCGAATCTATGATCCGACAAAGTTTCGAATGTACTTCCATGGAATAACGGCAGCCATCATGTTAGGAGCATTCGTAGTGGACGTAATAGTTTGGTACAAATCAGATTCCATTCAATTTCACGAAGACGAAGATATCAGTTTGCCCAAGGATACCATGGCTGCTGAAGTCTCACGATGCACTCAGTTTGAAACCAGTGTGTAGTTCGTTTTAAAACCGATAGATGGCAATGCATGAGGATCAAATGGAATTGGGATATGTAATGAATACGCGTTTACCGTTTATTTCCTTAGTAAATCCCGAGTCTCAGGATTTGTGGTGTAGAAGTGATATGATACTGTCAAGCCAATTTTTTTTGTGAGAATGGCAAACATTTGAACATAAATACAGAACGTTTATGTAGTAAATACTTCTAACGAAATTTATAATATGTGAATGTAAGTATATAAAAGAAAAAAGTAATTTTTCCGGTGACCATGAATTATGATTTAAGCTAAACTAATTTGATTTGTAATGCATTCTATATAAATCAGAGATTAGTTGAACTGTGGTAAATAGTATATTCACAACTAGATGGCGCCCCCTTAAATCCTTAAAAATCGTCTGGTACAAATTCAAGAAGTGAAAAGCGTGCAGATTTATTACAAGTTGATATTAAATACATATTTTATTTTATCGAGGTTAACAAAAACAAACCGTTATCAAGTTACGCAAATAACAAAACCAGAATTATCTGATCGATTATGTGGAATGTATATAATATGGTATGTAATCATATATTTATATAGGATTTTCAAGAATATGCAGCACTGATGCTACTACTAATTTATTCTTGAGAATTATTCAGTCAAACTAACTGTTTAACACGCTAAAGAATAAACGCGAAATCCAAACAATCATTCGATTTATCACTTGTCACTGAGTTATACCAGTTTTTGGGAGTTTCATGTGTCTTCAGTAACCTTGGACAAGGACAGATCGAAAGAGTAAAACTAGGCTTCATGAAGTGATGGAATGTATAATAATATTTTAGTATATAATATGGTGTTTATTATTTTCAAAATGTGTAAGTGTAACGCCTCACAACATTCTGAATGTAAGTAGGATTTATTGTTTTAATTATTAGATATTAATTTAGTCAGATGCATGTTTTAAAACGTTGTGTAACAATAATAAACTTTTACTCATTAACGACACAACAGAGTACGTCATTATAATATTTAAATAAATTGTTCTTCCAGATCGGGAGCTACAGTTAGTGAAAAATAATACAGAATACATAAAATTTTATTCAAAGCATTATAAAAAAAAAAATCAAATCAAAAATCATTTCGTGAAGAAAAACGAATTTTATAATTTATTTCTTTTTAAAATGGTTTCCCTTTACAATTGTACGACAAATGTATATATATATTGTTCGCCAAAACCAACACAATGTAGTGGTATTGTTTGAAAAATAAAGCACTGTAAATTATCGAATAACTACTTTTAATTGTAATGTCGGTAAATTGGAAAGTACTAACTGAACACAAACAGAATAAACTAATGGTTTTCAGCCTTGGGAACTGAACCGGAGAGGTTAGTGTACACGTTACTGCTGATATAAATGTCGAACTAACACCACGATGAACTCTATTCAAGTGCAATCAGTAAGTCTAGAAGTGGTAATGGTTAGAACAGGCAATATAGTGGGAAACCATGGAGACACACACACACAAAAGAAATATGTTTTCAGAAAGCTGCCGATAGATGGCACACACATACACTGGACAATTATGTTTTCATCAATTAGTTTTGATTGGTGGCAAGGGATGGTGTTTTAAAAATCGTTGAAAAGCCAAGAACACGCTGTCTGGAAATATCCTAGGGGAAAGAAACAAAACTAAAATTGACTTGAATATTTATTTCGATGACAAACCAATCAGTATTCTACGAAAGTAAATAAAAAATCAAATATTATATTTTAAGAGTTTATTGTAGCCTTTACAGACTATGTTTTGATAATGCTGAAAATGTTACATGATCCCGTGTAAACCCTCTCGATGGTTCAGAGGTGATTTTACATACTCACGACGTGAAAATTCGAGAATCGATTCACGTGGTGGACAGGGCTAAAAACACACAATTTGCTGTATAAAATGTATTTCTTAGATAAAAGGTTCAAACTAAAATTTGTTATTTTCCTTTCAGATATAAATGGTTCTTTCTTACGAATTTGATTGTTGGAGATGTATATGGCCTAGTAGTTGGCGTGCCGAATTGTATATTAGAAGGTTTGAGTTTCGATATGCTGCTGAACATGCTCCGTACTTTTAGCTGTAAGAGCGTTATAATCGTGACAGTCAATTTTACCATTCGGTTATGAGTAGCACTGTAGGTGGCGGATTCTGCTGACTGGCTGCCCTCTCTCTCTCTGGTCAGCAGTTTTTGGAGGCTCGAATTTTGGAGGCTATGAACAGGCCCTTTAGGCCACGTGTTGTACACGATTTCATTCAAGTTGAAAATACCCAACTTCTTGTCTGTCTGTTTTGGTGCAGAATGAAGTAGATAAAAATTCTTTATGTTCCTCGTATGTTCCTTGTTTCATGTATCATTTAATCAGATTTCATTCCTCGAAAATACTGGCTTTATGTCTACTTACACGTGTACAAATTTAAAGGTACAAAGAAACTGTGAAACATAATTTTTATAACTTACCTGAACCAACTAAAGAAATATCCAACCCAGCATGGTAATGTTACAACACTTTTTTCTCGTAAGATTCCATCTAATGCACCTTGAGCCACTTCCTTTATGGTAAGAACAGGTAATATGGTAGGAAACCTTGGACGAAAAAATAAAATGTATATATTCAGAAAGCTGCCGATAGATGGCACCCACATACACTACAATTTCCACCTAAGGCAAATAATTCGGTAAAATACTAAATAATATTCAACGTTAAACTGGTACACAATTAAAAACATTTTATTTAGGCCTATCTATGGCCTTCGAAAAGTTGACG